AATAAGTATGAAAACAAATGGCTCTGTGTCTTACTGCTCTGGTCACCGTGCCTTTTAAAAAATCGCAAAATAAGTGTGAATTAACTGACAAAACATTTTTAGAGACTTGTAAAAACTGAACAGGGATGCTTGTTAAATGTTGACAAAGCAGAAACAAAACCTTCCCTTCCCCCCTCTGTTTTTATCCCTTTTCCCCGCTTACACATACTACGTATGGATACACACACACACACACACGCACACACACAAACTCTGGAGCAATGTGAAATTATTAGCATAAAGCATCGCTGACACAACTCAGCCACTGTTTAGCAGGTTGGCTGAAAAAAAAAAACAGGATCAATTTCAGTGAAGCTACTTTGCATTTTAGTTTTTGTGGGCCACTTGAAAAGCTCCTCAGTGGACAAACGTGAACAGAATGTGAGCAGCACACATTAGATACACATTAATTTTCCGTCTGGATGGAGGCCTGTTTTGTGGAGCCGCTGGCTGTCTGTGTTCGGTCGCCTCCTCCAAACAGCGCGGAAAACATTAATGAAACTACTTAATACGAGTCGAACCTCCATGAATCAACGTGCATGATGTGTGTGCCCATAACCCCCCCCCCCATAAAAACCTGCAGCTCTACAACTCGGTAGTAGTCGCCTACGCCACTCTATATGGCGTTACATAATGCATGAGAACAAGTTGTACTCCACTTTTTTTGACAGACACTTAGAAAAATACACGAGCTATTAACCTTGCTTGCTAGATGAGAAGCGACTTTCCACGCGTTCTTGTAACTGAAGATTAGAAAAAAATACCACCAAGCTCTCTACTGGCCAGCGTGTAGCCTACAAGTCCTACTGCAGCCATCATTTGAAAGCATATGCATATTTAATTCACCTCAAACAACTTCTGCAACGCGTTTAAAGAGCAACACGTCCACGCAAAGTGCACTAAATATTCATTTGGAGCAAATTCTTTGGAAGAAACGCAGCTGCTTATTTTTAATGGAAGTAGGACTCCGATATTATCATATTCATAACAACGTGAAACTGATGACTGCTTGAATGTGAGATTTTCAGACAAAAATTTAAATTTCTGTGCAATACAGAAATTGAATATATACATTCAATTTCTGTATTTTTAGTATTTAAAATATTTAGATCTTTTTTTTAAGGAAAAAAAGACATAATCTCCTCTCTGTCATTTGCATTAAAATTGCCCCTCGCCAAAAGCTTTTCATGTTGTGTTTTTCCGCTCTGTAAATTCACACCTTGTTATTGTCTTCCTGTGGATATTATTCCTGCGTTAAATAATTTTTGATGGTTTTCTTTTGTGTGTGTGCAAATTCTCAGCCTGCTCTGCACAGCACGGTTCGCTTCTCTACTCTCGAGAAGTCGGTCAAGGCATTCGGGGTCAGTGTTACGGGGTATTTCAGGTTACCGAGAACGCGGTATAGAAAATTAAAAAAAAAACGCACACCAACCTGAAGAAGGCCTATCCGAGTATCTGGTGCAGTAGACCCAGGCTGGCCACAGCATGGGCTGAGACATGGATGGGTTTGAGCTGGCTTGGGAACTGTCTGAGTCTGAGCTTAGGCACTGGTCTCCATTCTCCCCGCGGGGTTTCAGGGGCTCCTCGGCGGCTATAGCAGGCTTCTTGGTCCCGGTAACCGTGTGTGGAGTGGAGGTCCCTTCTGCTGGCACAGTGCTCCCCACCGGTTCGGTCTGAGGGGCGGTTGGGCTGTTGTGGCTCTCCCGCGACGCAAGGCTACTCTCTTCGCGGTTTGCGCCACCGTCCTTTTTCCGTCCGAAATCCGGCCGCAGGATGTTGTCGATGAAAAAATTGGTGACCCGGTGAGGGATCTGCAGGTTCCCCGGCGCCTGTAAGAGGGGAAGGATGGCTCTATTTGATTCGTCCGCCGACTCCTGCCGCTCCACCACATCTCTGTTGCCGTGATCATTTTCTTCCATACTGATTCACTTTCCCCCGCTTTACTCTCTTTAACCCCTTTATCGCTCTCCCCGTTGCAATAAAATTCGCCAACAACTTTAGGGGAATTAGACTGCAAAAACTGCACGAGTAAAATAAATAAAAAAGAAAACTCAAATACTAGTGAGTGCCTCGGACACCATGCAAAGCCTTGCGACTGTGTCCTCTGTGAAAAGCATACTTTTTGACTTATATCCCCC